CAAAAAAAATAAATATATACAATAGAGTATATATATGTGTGTATGTCAAATAAATGGTAGTGTGTGTAATCTTTTTTATTAATTGAATGTATTTTTTATGCATATTTTAAAACAATATTAGATTTCTGCACTCCTCTATACTATAAACGTGTGTGAAAGAGTAACAGACATCCATCCATAATCACTAACTTTCGCGTTAAAAAAATAATATATAAAAAAAAAATATATTATATTTTGGAAAGTTCGGGAAGCTCGTGAGAGTGGATAGATAGAATTTTGTAACTATTTCAAGCAAAAAATTCTGAATGAAACTTACAAATAACACATAGGCTATAAATTTCACGAGGGTGAAATCGCCGGAACATCTAGTACTATTATATAGTTATTAGTTTATAATATTAGTAAGATTATTGATGATGGTATACACCATGTATAACTATTTCTTTCAATAATTCTATAGGTAACTTTGAGTGTGTACCGCGAGAGGGTCAACCTGGTAATAATTTACTAATGAGATCAATATCTTTCATCGCCTACTTACCTCATATTGATCACGTCTTACTATTTCTGCCATGTTACTGTTACAGTCTTTGTCTGATTTGTTTGTTTAGTTTGCAGTTATTTTCTGCAACTCAATCTAGAATAAGGTTTAGTTAGAATTAGCAACATTAATATTATGTCATAGCGCTAATAAAAAAATTAAAAGCGATGCAAATATCTTCTATGTGGCCATCGAACTGGTGACCCTTCTGTCATTGAGTCGTAGGTAAATAACCGGGGCACGCTTATGTCGAGATTGTATTTTATAAATTGTAGTATTAGGCGAATTTCAATAGTCAATAAGTATGTCATTTAAAAAAAAAGACTAATTATGTTATTGTTAATGGTTTCCGCAGGAAAGTAGACCCTGTTAATAGTAAGAAGAATCATCAAAATCGTTCAGTTTTATCGAAGATATCGTGTAAGAATACCGAAAAGAAGACTTAAAATAATAACCTTCAAAAATTTTTTCAAGAATAACCGGACCAAAAAACATATAGTGTTCCTTCTTTCTTTCATTCCTTTACGACTGTTATCGCAGATGGTATAAACAGAGATGCCGACAACTGTTGACATTATGGTGAACGAAATATTAGACATCTCTCCAATTCAATGGGTAATATAGAATCCAATATTACGGGTGACTCTACCATTGTCTCTCGCATCTAATTTATTCTGTTATCAGTGCTCTCATCACCGGAATGTTAGTTAAGAATAAAGTTGCAATTCACACTACCCTAACATGTAATTAAATTATAGATAGAGAGTTAACTTTCATAAGAAGTCTTATTAATATCACAAAGCCGAAAGTTTGTGAGTATGGATGCATGTTTGTAGTACAAATTCTTTAGTGAGAACTTATTCTTCCCATATTCCGAATCCTAAGTATTTTGGCACGTTCGTATTTGAGAAGCAGACTTTGTAAATGCTACGTGTGCATATATACAACAAGAGATACTCTAAGAGCTTACCATCATTTTTATCTTCATTACATAGTATAAAACAAAGTTGCTGTCGCTGTCTGTCCGTCCCTATGTATGCTTAAATTTTTAAAACTACGCAACGGATTTTGAAGCTTTTTTTTAGTAGATAGAGTGGTTCAAGAGGAAGGTTTATGTATATAATACAAATACACCGCGCGAAGCCGGGGCGAGTAGCTAGTATTACTTTTACTATTTCACACAAAAACTACTGAACAGATTTGATGAAACTTTACAGCTTATACATTAGAATAACATATAGGTCATAAATTTAAACGGCAGGCACAGCTAGTAGTTAAGTGTTTGGGAGTTTATCCTGGACAAACATTGAAAATGTGATGCTAGTTTTCTATACATTTAATTAATAGCCCTTATATATGTACATATAATATACCCTATACATATAATTAGTATAATTAGTACCTTAGCCCAGGTTTTTGGCCGGGTCTTTATAACTTTGTAAATTTGTAATAACCCAACCTTTTACCCAAAACGACACATGGCTGTGAACGAGGCATCAATAGTCGTAATATGGGAGTAAATTTAATAACGATCAGAATTAGGTCACCTTTCTATATTAGAAAGGTAATGCTTCCAGTAGCGTTGGTCCGGTGTCCACACTGAATATTTATGGTCCAATGCATGTTTAGCGTACCGGAATTAAAGAAAATAATATAAATCTATTAAATAATGGAAATTGAGTGGAAAAATGGAATTCAGCAAAATAACACCTAATTCGATAAAAATGTTTCATTAATCGTTGCAGGACTGGTCTTTCGTCATAACAAAATTCGTTGTATTGCTTTCTTTTTATAATTATATAAATATACTTGGAAAATTCAAGCGCCGTCAAGTCGCAAGCTAAGCAGATTTTGTGTTATGGGGACTTTACTGATGTAAATAGGTACATAGGTACTTATTTTTTAAAAACATACATTTTAAAAAAGGAAAACACTTGATCGATATAAGTAATGTTTGGTGCCGTGCTAGGAATCGAACCTGGCCACTATCGACCACCAGAAGAAAAGCGGCGTGCTAAACTGCTAGACCACCGAGGTCGTACCGTGTTGCATGTTTGGTACCGTGTTAGAAATAGAATCTCCGACCATCGGGAGTAAATAGGTGTACTAACCACTAGCTATAAGGAGGAAGGGGATTGTTAGTAATGTGGATTGATAACCCCATTGCTAGTAATGTACCATGTCAGGTCGACCTCCACGCGGTTCCCCCTGGAAACCATCGTGTTAAATTCCTGGTGAATTTGCACTACGGGCTAACTGACCTGACCTCATGCTCATTTTATCATCCTCCACTGGTGCCCCGCCAGCGTAAACCGTTAGCGCGGGCGGGTGCACCATTCCATTATCAACCCTAAAAAAAAAAACACTAGCTATACGTAATAATTCAATAAGCTAGATTAATATGTAGATAAGATGATATAATCGATTGCAAAGAGAATTATGAAGAATGTGTAAGTTATGTGTTGGTTTGTATGTGTCGTACGCTTATTGTTACTTTTCTTCAGTGTCAAGTGGCTATACTTGGAAATGACGACGTGGGAACAAAACAAACATATCATACGAACAGCGGCATCGACAGAAGTATAGTGAAAGCATTAGACTGGTAATGCGCACATGACAACCCAGTGTCGCTGTCCATAGGCTACGGTAACCGTTTACCATGAGATGGGCCGTATGCTTGTTTGCCACCATTGTGGTATAAGAGGCTATGACTATTACTCGACTGCTGAAGAAAAGAGAAGAGCGAATGTTTTTGATTTTTTCTGACATAAAATTGTAAGTAGGGAGGTATGGATTGGTTTGTGATGATAACAATGACTGATCTATATTGTTACCAAATCAAATTTGTTACATGGCAGTATTCCCACAAAAGTGTGACATTCTTAATGTCATTTAAAACAAAATTTATTTAAAAGAGCAACACGCAAATTTCTTGCTCTATATTCCTTCCGAATGAGTGGAAAAATAAAAAAAAATACTATTGAAAAGTGCTTATATTAAGTTTATTTTAATAAAGATTAATTCTATTCTATTCTTTCTATTTGAAAAATTCTATAATTTAAAAAAATATATAACAGATAAAAATCTGAAAATTTCTTAAACTGAAGAAAGTGGAAGTTCATTATCGCTCTCCTTTCTTCACCAGTGGTGTAATGCTGGAAGACACTTCACAGTGTAATGCATTATACTTCTGTCGAGTTTATCAGATGTGATATCTGAATTCAAAATTAAAACTGTAAAAAAAATATCTAATCATACTAATTATCACTTCGCTTTCACTATACCTTCGGCGAGTTTTTTAGATTTATTACCTGAAAATCTCTAAAAATCTCTAAATGAATTATAACAAGCAATAGAACTTTGTCTCTTATATTTTACCCGTGCGATAACTATCTTATTGTTCTTAGAGCGGTTCGCACCAAAAATTTCTTTTTAAATTCCATTTGGTCTACCGTCAGCTATAGCGGGAGTTTGAAGTCATAAAGCAAGATTTTAATAAACAAAAATTTTCTATTGGTCAAGTAAACTCGTTGTTACTCGCTGTGTCGAGGTTTATTCTTATTATTATTATTATCCATAATAATAATAATAATAATAATAATAATAACCCACTAGATGACAAGCAGTAACCGTCCCTGATATAGGTACATAATCAATAGAAGCACTACGGACATCAGACATCACGTTTTCATGTGACACCCGTCATACTACTCATGCGTTGGCATTCTGAAGGTCTAGGGAGCCTCTTATTTTGGATTTTCACTCCCTAATCGAACCCTATAACCGAAATAGCTTACTAAGCAAGCTGCTCAAAATAGGTGAGATTGAAACACCCAAGCAAGCAACTTTTACAGCTTACCTTGTTTAAAAAAAGTCAATGGGTCTTTTATGGATATAAAAATTTACATTAACATACCAAAAGATATACTGGTACTGATTACCCTTAAATAAATTTAAAAACATCTGTTAAATCATATTTTATGAGCAAGGCCTATTACACTTTAAACGATTACTTGAATGACGAGTATGCATGGCAATAGTTTTTCATGCACGGTATTTTCATTTAATGTTAGAAATTTTATTAAAATTAAAAAAAAGAAATTAAATTGAGTTGCCAGTTCTTCTCAATTGAATTTGTATACTGAACTGGACAGTAGGGATAAAATATAATATAAAAAATTTAACGTTCATAAGCGGATAAAATGTCCTACATGAATAATGATTTTTGAATTTATTAAGTAAGTGAACTATTGACCTTAGCAAACTGGTTTGCAAAAGGCGGTCCTTTGCGCAAAACGGCGCGTAAGTTAAAAAATAAAAATTTCGTAACGCTACACCCGGTAACACGCTCCGCCCATCTACTGTCCCTCTCGCGCGTCTGTCTCGCTCGCGTCGTTTGAAACTAGAACCACCTATTGTTATTTGACCCCATGTCTCTGTTGGGTGAGGGTGTGTGGAATTTTTAAATATACGCGATTTTTTTTCAGCTTTTCTATGATATTTTGAGAAGAGTGTTTTAATGTGATTTAAGTGTTAGTTTATTTAATTTTAAGGTGAGTTTAAAAAATATTGTTTTTTTACGGTGATAATATCTCATATATGAACATATTTTTCGATTTGGTTTTCAATTTTTTTAAGAAACTAATATATTAAAATAAGAAATGAATAATTTATTTAGTCATTCTGTAGCATGCATGCATTTTTTATTATTTAATATAAAAGTTTATAACCGAACGACCAGTGGATACCGCTTTTAGAGATATAATTAATTAATAGTAATTGAATGTTATTAAAATAAAAGTAATTTACATTTCATGTCATAAATACCAAATTTATATGCAAATTTCAAGTCGATTGGATAAGCCGTTAGTACGCAAAGAGGCAAATGAAGATATTAGTATTTTTGTACCTCTTGAACAAAAAATTGTCTGAATTTTCTTCTCTAAAAGTACTATGAAACTTATTATATGTTAATAATATAAATAGGTCAATTAAAAAAGTCACTAGCAAATGTTTTCGTATTGAATGTCCGGCGTAGTTTCACGTTATCCGATGCGTTGTTATTACGCGAACCGACGAAAATTTTTAAATAATCTATACATATTATAAAACAAATGCTCAAAAACCGTAGTTATATCTAGATGTTCCCCAGACTAATAAAAACAACCATACTCATGAATACAAATGTTTGTACCGTGTGACGAATCCAACCTCCGATGATCAGGACTAAAGCGCTGTGCTAAATTGCTAGATTACCAAGATTAACCATTATATATAGGTACATGCATATATAAGTACTAAGACGTTTCTGTGGTTTCGTGGGCCTCTCTGAACTAATTTCAGCTGCAGAGCAGTTTGCTTTGAAAGATGTGATTTCATTGTAGTGCCTTATGTTAGAAGTATAGCATGGGTATGAAAGGATATCTTATTTCTTTGGAATAGTAACGCATGAGGGCTACTTTGGGACATGATGAAGTGATATCTGTAATGCTGTCCATGATGAAGATGATGTAATAATGACCGCTTGCCATCAGATAGTTTACCGTTTAAATTACATAAAAAAATATAAGCATGATATGTCTACAAGGTTTAATTTACAATGTTTTTATTAAATCCAAATTTCAAATTTGATAAAATTCGTTATCAACGCACAAATAATTAAAAAAACATAACAATGGAATAAGTTCCATATGGATATGTTAAGAATATCGAATACTCGAATGTATTTCGTAAATCTGCTTTTGAATAGCTTAAGAATCATTACTTTTTTTCCACACATTAAATTTCCAGCTGCAAAGGTTTTTTTTATACTAAATACCTATAAAATAGGATTAATATATGTTTTGTTTTTTGTGTATAACATATATGAATAAGTAATGTAATTCTATACACATAGAACAGCATTTTTAAACAGGACAAACGTACCTCAGTACCTATTTATGCTTATAAAGAAAACCGCCGACATATGGTATCGAATTTAATATTTTGAAAGGTGAAACTTGTTATAAAATTTATCTGTAGTAGGCATATTTGTTGAAAATAAATAAATATTACTTTTAAATGTACAATAAAGAGGCTCTGTTCTTATTATATGTCCTGTAACAGGCATATATAAACATCGCATAGTTGAACAAAAGATAATGTACTATGATACTGTGGCAATTGTTTTGTTTTTTCTGAAAAATAAGATATTTTGTCGCCGTTTATTAATACCATTGCCTTAGACTCACTTTTATAGAGTAACCGAAACACAGCTTGCGAAATAAACTGCTTAACGAAAGTTGGCATGATAAAAAGTGTAGGAACTCCGAAATACCATAAATTGAAATGTAAGGAACATTGGTAGATAGGTAAAAAGGCGATACCTTCAGATAAGTAAACTTTAAAATAATAAAACGTACATGAATCATGTAAGAATACATTACTCTTAGAAGTCAAGTCAAGTCAAATTAAATGTGCTTTTTTTATCTTGCATTTAAGTAATGTTTTTGTTTACAGAATAAAATTTAATTTAATAAGATTTGTTACAAGACTTTGTAATGAAATCGACAACTATGGAGACGTGTTCGGACCGTCTTAGTCCATCGACTGACTCGACCAGTGAGTCAGAAACATCATTACCGCCATTTGCATATGACAATCAAAATGCAAACTTCTACAATCAGGATATAAACGATAAACAATACTTTTCTTGCAAACAAAAGTCACCGAGAAACGATGAACGCAGTACAAAAGATATCTATTTACAGGAAAGCAACAAGTTATTCGATAATTATTTATCGCCACAGAGAAACAAAAAGTATTTGAATTTCGAAATCAAATTGCCACAGAATGATAATTTTTTCAATCAAATCGATACAGATGATAGAACTATGAGACCGAATTATTTTGAGGTGCCTATTGTTGCTGGTAAGAACTGCATTCAAAATGAGAATAATCCTAATTTGGCGGATATTAAAATAGCCAATCAGCAGGTTGGATTCGATAATTCGAATAATGATAGAGATAGAGTAACACAGTCTTACTTTAGTGAGAATGAGAATGGAAATATGCGGAGATGTTTGAATTTCAATTCCGAACAAGTGCAGTGTGTATGCGAGGCATTGCAACAGAAGGGTGACATAGAGAAACTGGCTGCTTTTTTATGGAGTTTGCCACCCAGCGAGTTATTGCGTGGAAACGAAACAGTGTTAAGGTATTTTTGTTATTTTGTGCATTATTTTCTTTTATTTATTTAAATAGTAGACCTGTGATTTATTTTATAAAAAAATCATGTCATGTGATAATAACTAGATATTTTTTCTAAAATTCATATTTGCACTAAACACAACTTTATTTCGATTTATCTTTGCGAATATATAAACAAAGTTACTCTGCATTTTTTTTATTAGCAAAATAAAGAATATACTACTTTTTTTATCGTCGACTGTGTTACCATATAGGTAACTTTCTTATCTGGGTTGCCATTAATTTTTAGTTTTTTTTTTATATCTGTTGCAGAGCAAGAGCATTAGTAGCGTACCACCGAGGCGTGTTTCAAGAGTTATACGCCATATTAGAGGCACACACGTTCCCGCCAAGGCATCACACCGCGTTGCAAAATTTGTGGTTCAAAGCGCACTATGACGAAGCCGAGAAGGTTCGGGGAAGACCACTAGGTACAATTCATTGTGATAAATTAAATGAATATATTTATTTATTTAACTTAATAATAAGGGATTATGTCCTTTTTGATTAATAATAAGCTTGGACTGCTATACCTATTACTTATAATCGATATTTCACGCTTCCAAAAAAAAAAATTATGTTACATTATATTACCTATCTGTGATAATATCGACTTTTAAATATTTACATCTGGTTATATTTTAACCAGTACGCTGATTAATATGTATTTACTAACATTTTAATTAGTTTTTTTAGACTCGGTTTAGAGTTCATACTTTTATATATAGATATATTTCAAAATACTAGCACGAAATATTATATATTCCAAAATACTAGCACGAATTAGTTAAAAAAATCTAAAATGATTGAATATGAATTAAATTTTTTTAAGCTATACAAGTGGCAATGCATATGATATTATTGTGTTCATTTTCTTTTTATCAGAAACCATATAAAATCGAGATATAGGTACAAAGAAAAAAATTGTTTCAGGTGCAGTAGATAAATACAGGCTGAGGAAGAAGTATCCACTGCCCAAAACCATTTGGGATGGAGAGGAAACTGTGTATTGCTTCAAAGAGAAAAGCAGAAACGCCTTAAAAGACTGTTACTATAGGAATCGGTAAGTTCTTGTAAATTATGTAGTAACGAACTGTCTTCTGTCATACAGATGACGCCAGTTCTAAAACCAAGACTACACAAAAATGTTACAAAATATTGTAATTGTATCGAAAGTTTTATAAAATTTATTCTCAATAACTAGTTGTGTATTTCGACACATTTATGTCACCTAAACTTCATTTCATCGTTGTGTACACATGATATAAATATGATATTTCCCGATATTTCGACGCTGTTATAAGTATCTTTGACACTTGTAACAGCGTCGAAATATCGGGAAATAACATTGACCCGTGACCAGTAATATTATACTAATAATAATAATAATCTCAGGAAAAATCACTCAGCGCCATCTAGATCCAAGTTAAGCTAGCTAAAGCTTGAGTTATAACTAATACAAATACATAGATATATATTTTTTAGTACATACATTATACATAGAAACACCCAGACCGATATAATCATACTCCTGAATATATATGTTTGAAATCAGAATAAAACACTATAAATTTTTGTTTTTTTTGCTATAATGGTTTCCTTCGCCTATACATTTCAGGCGGAGGAAACTACAGGCACAGCTATAAATATTCCATTTTTATAATGTGTATTTTATATTGACGTCACTTCTATAGGTATCAATATATAATTATTTGTATAGGTATCCAACGCCTGACGAAAAGCGAGCGCTAGCCAAGAAGACGGGGCTGACTCTCACGCAAGTCTCAAATTGGTTTAAGAATCGAAGACAGAGGGATCGGACCCCACAGCAGCCGAACAGATCGTAAGTTTTGTTACCATATTCCTACCAGGGATGTTAGGGAGCTCCGTAACTGTTACTGGCAGCTTACCTACCATTCTTTTTATAAACTTTATATTTTTATATCTATTTTTTATATGTCACTTTTAACTAATTGTTTTGTTACTTTCCTTCACTGTGAGCCCTTTTGGGAAGAATACACATTTCTACTCGTATTTGATTTTTATTAGAATAAGTAGTTGTGTTCCCACACCGAAACTATCGGATATCCAATATAAAAAATATTCATAATCGTAACCGAATTCGAAATAAAAGTTTCGGATAATATCGGATAGGGGCGGAGCCTAATTGAGACACGTTATGTAACTATTTTATTAGCTATTTTTAGTTTACTTTTGAAATTCTTTAAAAAATGTATAACCGAACATATCCGAAACTAACGGATGATCCGAAATACTTTCATATCGGCATCTGTATCCGTATTCGGTATAATAATTATTCCTATATGCGTATCCGAAATTTCATATCCATAACATCCCTGATTCCTACTAATATCATAAAAGAGAAAATTTAGGCGGCCTCGATGGTCTAGCGGTTTAGCACACTTTTTTACTTCTGATGCTCGCGGCTTCGAGTCCTCGAACGGTACAAACATTTGTATTTCTGAATATGATTGTTCGTATCGGTCGAAATGAACGTTTGTATACAAGAATTGTCATTTTTAAAGATAGAAGATTGGATCTTATTTTTTAGACTATTAGATTGAATATAAATAAAGAAAAAGGATTATTAGGGGAAAGGGGAGATGAAGGGTTGTATGGAAGGATCATCAAAGCTAGAAGCTTAAAACTTATTTTTTAAGCCGTTGATTAAATATTAATAATTATGACTAGTGAATATTTTTTTTAACAGATAGATTATTGAATATTTTTTCTTTATTTAGGCATGGTCACTATAACACGCAGACGAGTTCGCGGGCATAGCTACTAGGGTATACATTTCAAACTGGTGTAACCACGAGTACTGCTATTTATGAATTGGATATCTGTAATTTATAATGTGTATCAATGAAAATCATTAGCGAGTGGTTGTATTATTGTGTAAACTTAAAATTTAATTTAGGTATACGTCGTATCTTGATAGCGAGTTGTAGTATGCAGGTTCATATAAACATATAAATGACGGCCTTGAGACAAAAGCCATAAAACGCCATACTCCCTCCATAACAATAGCCCCATACAAATGTAACAGGAGACCAAGAAATATTTACATTAGTTGGTTTGGTATACCAACTTTGATTTGTAACCGCTTGCTTTAAAATTTAACTAATAATAGTTTTATTTTATTACTAGCTGTGCCCGCGGTTTCACTCACATGATATTTTAGCCAACTACCTGTGTTTGCCCGCGACTTCGTCCAATTGGAATAGTTAATAATTATATAAGCTAACTATGAAAAGAAAGGAAAAACTTTCATCGTCCTAGCTTCAAAAATGACAAATTTCCATACAAACTTTCATCCCCTATTTTATTTTAAGGGTTAAATTCTTAAAAACTTTGAATGTCAAATTTATATTTCATCAACAGTTTAAAAAATAAGTTTCAAGCGTCTAGCTTTAAAAATGACGTTACATACTTCCATACATAATATTATCTTATCTGTGCCTCCATACAATCTTTCATCTCCTCTAAAATCAGAGTAAAGCACTAAAAAGTAGTGTATGCCCTTTATCAGGGTCTAGACTATATTTCTATCAAATATGATTTAAATAGATCCAGTAGTGTTGATGTGAATGCACGACAGACAGACAGTCTTTCGCATTTATAATATTAGTAAAGACAAACTATATTACTGCAAAGTTTCATCAAAATCCGTTCTGTAGTTTTTGCGTGAAAGAGTAATAAACATTCATCCATACTCACAAACTTTCACGTTTATATATTATTAATATATATATTAGTGAGAATTTACTTGTGCTGCCCGCAATATCTTGTATCAGTAGCCTCCTAATAATAATAACCCAAATGGGTTCCCTGAAACGAATTGTACCGTACCGCCATTCCATTCGGTCTCTTTCTAAACTCATTATCACGTCCTTTCGGTCATTAAGTGGTCATTAATCAATAGTTACAGTCGATAGATCCCTTTGTTCGTTGTTACGCGAAAAAAAATAAACACGTGTGAATGCACATGTCCATAGACAAAAATTTTTTTTTAGAAAACTTTGTACGTCATATGTTTATTTAAATATTTTTTTTTTATATTAAGTCAGTTATTCAGTTATATGCTATAAGAGTCGCAGGCAGGCGTCCGGTTATAAAAAACTGAAGCTAAAGCCATTCTCTCGTTTTCCTAATATAAATATGAGTGAACGAATTGATGATAATGACTACAATCGCAGAGAGAGTAGTCATTATTGGCAACTGTCGTTCGGAAATGTTTTAATGATTCTTATTTTACGTATACCTACTTAGGATAGACAATCCATCTCATAGGAAACTGGAAACCGTCGCCTAAATATGAATATGGTAATCCTCACGCGTTACGATTCCTGGAGACTAAGGTATCATGCCAGCGTGCTCCATAATTTTACTTCCATCTCTCAACCTTCATACCGAATCAGCTGCTTGGCTAATAGGTATCTATATACAGATATACCGCAGATAGTTAAGTACTTTAGCTTATTGATTGTACATATTATTGCAAATATAACTACAAATAATGTTTTAGGTGTTTATTACTTATAAGAAAAATTGCAACGAATATATAATATTTGACTTATCTGCTTTTCATGTTATTTAGCGACAATTCGAATTTAGAATAAGCATACGTCACACATATCATGAAAAAAATATATACCTACCCAATTCTTACTGGCTGTAGATATGAAAAAAATATAGTCTTTTTCTTTTCAAAAATATTAGTACAGCCAACTATCTTTATGTATTATGAAAATGTACTATAATTGTTTTTTTTTTTTCAGAGAAATGTTAGTACCGGCTCAATACGCGGGTCCACAAGGAGGTCTAGCTCAAGCATTACTTCCAAACGCATACTATCATCAATTGCAAGATCCTACTCATTATTTGCATAACGGTGCGCCGTAGTGTTGCCTCGCCAACAATTAGTGCATATTGGTGATTATTACGAAGTTGTGATTTAATTAGTATAAACATAGAATTAAAAAAAAATAACGGCAATTTATGACATTTAGAAAATTATCTGTATTACTTAAATTAAAAGAAGGGACTGCCGTCTTCAATATATTATAAGTATATTTGATCTAGGTATCTATTTACCTAATAAAATATAGTATGATAAAAAAAACTATAGAATAATAGTTGGTAGGTATTAATACATTTTGCTGGTTATTTTTAGTCTGTTCAGTCTGAACAAATTTTCTAATAATGCTAGATGAAAGTGGAAAAATAATCAATTAATTTTATTACAAACTTGTTTTCTTATAAACAGGAGAATTGGCAACTTTGCATTACTTACTGTGAGATTTTTGTTAATTATGTTTGCGACTATAGTTAGCAATAAAGCAACGATGGAGTCTACTTTTTATGTGGGGATTTTGTGAAATATGTCTATGGAACCCTTTAGTTACGACAATAGTACCTACCTACTTCATAGGATCCTTGATGGTCATTATTTTTAATCTAAAGTTTAATACTCTACATATTATTTACTCATAGTAAGATAAAGTCTTTTGTTTTAAGATATGATATACATATTTCGCATTTACCCGAAACATTTCAATATTTTTAATCGTACTTAGGTACATATTTTAACGTAGTAGGTAAAACATATTTTCATTGATATAATATTAAGAAAAATATTTGTTACTTAATTACATACTTACTAATTTATATTTTATAGGTGTAATACCGCTGAGTATTTTTCATTCTTGATTGTAAATACTAGGGATTCGCTCTGGCATTGCTCGGGTGCAATATGAAAAGTGTATGAATAATTTTGTCGGTACTTAATTTTTATATTGTATAATCAAAACTTAGTTTATTTTTCTATTGTATGTATACTATACAATCTAGATGTATGTTTGTACTGCTTGAATTAACAGTTAAAGATTGCAGTTAGTAAAAATACATTTAAACAAGAAGAAAAGAGACTTAAAAAAAGTATAACATTTTTTTAAAGTCAATTTTCACTGTAAAATAGATATCAATGTACCTATGTTTGAGTGACACTGTCTCACCAGTCTTTATCGCCAAATAATTTGTTTTGTAAGCTGTGTTGCAGCTGAGGGGTGATACTCCTGGTTAGGGCATTGAAATCACGGTAAGTAGACATGACATTTTAGATCTTCGGAATGACAATACCAGGGCACTACGTCACATGATGACGTAATATCTGTGGTTCCTGTTCATGTCTTTAGGAGACGGTTGTAACCTATCATCGGGTAGCTCAAAAGCTGTTTGCCAGTCCCGGTAAACATAAAAAAACATACATATGGGATGGGTTGCTAGTATTGCTAGTATCATATATTTTGCAGTGACATTGCACCTCAAAAATAGTTATTGCAATGTTTGGGTACATTAGAGAATAAATTTACCCGCTGTCTTTGAGCTATTAATTTAAGATATTTATAAACAATGTTAAAAGTATATTCCTACGTACAGACGAATGTGGCCGGAGATTTTGGTATACTATTTAGAGATAAGAGTACATATATGAATATAGTATATATTAATGGAGACTGTAGATAAAACATATCGATGTAAATATGTTAAAAATAAGGTGCTGTTCATGTTTAAAGCCATTATGTTCTAGTCTAAATGCGAATTAAAGTTCTCTAAGAATTAAATATTGTTATTTCATTTTACACGCTTGTCCTGCTTAGTCATTGGTTTCTTAATTCCATAATATTTATTGTATATTTTAAGTAATCTTTGTAAAAATCTAATGGACATCGTTGATTATTTTTTAACCATCAACACAAGACCCTAATCGTCCTGTGCTGATTCCAAACCTCTTAGGTAGCAATTATTCGTCATATTGTCATATGTAAATTTGAAAAATTACATTTGACAATATGACGAAGGACATTTACATTTACATGTTAAAGATTCTTTAGCTGTCACAGTTTTTTGACATATATACTTAATTTATTAAATTATATTAAGGTATATATTTCCATCATACCACGATGGATTCAAATATACCCAGAAAAATGAGTGCATCTCTAATGTTACGTTCTGCACTGCTACGCATCAGGGATAATAGTCCTAATGGTATGTTGTTTATGTAATTAAAATATGTAGTACTTACTATCGTTTAAACTATATACTAACGTTATAAAGTTGATAAGTTAGTTTAGTTGGCAGGTAGAACGCATTTATTCTAGCAGCTACTGGTTCCAATTAAAAAGTGAGGATTTATATAATTTTCAATGGTATATGTTATCACAAAATGTCAATAAAATAAAATGAAACTGATCTAAAATCAAATAAGTATAACAAAATTGGTAATATCCCGAAATTATTTGTTATGGCTAAAGAGTAAGTATCCAAGCCACAACAAAATAATACCGTTCCTCCACAGCTTAGTCTGACAGTGAGTCAGACTAAGCTGTGGATCTGTCAATCTGTCATTTTCACAGTGTTACTAAAATTATCTTTTTCCTCAATTTTAGGGAAAAATAAAAATAATTTTAGGGAATCAATTGTCACTATTATTTTATAAGAAGTCTACTTAAATATTTAATAAGTGTTAACTTAGTTAGAGAACATATTTGTGTTAAAGAAACCATGCATTACAAATATGAATGAATTTGTAAAATATACATTAAATATAATGATATACAAAATAGATTTTGTACTTAATTCCTGACTGCATTTGGTAAAAAAATATCTTGAAATTAAATATATTGAAGGAATTTTAAGGAAAAGTATTTCTTTATTATTATAAATATTTATGTATGTGGTTAGTTACTTTTACAAAATAGCAACACTTCAATTTTGTTACGCTAACAATAAGTAGTCTGTGGCAGCCTGATTAAAAAATAAAAAGTAAAACATACCGTGCTATTTTTCTTTGTTGTTTAGTGTTTACAAATATATTATTCGTTTATTTTACTTGATTGATAAATAGTTGAAAATGATCTCAAGTTGACTAACCGCATTAGTATTCTATTCTAATCAATTAATAGTGTTATTTTCTACAAATAAATCAAACTTGTTCATGACGCAATAGCGAAAGCTCACGAAAATGACTGACTCAAAATCATTTGTTAATTTCTCTTGCCAGAGGTGTTTGCAGCCATTGAAGCTAGATGAGTCGTTGAACAACCTTGGTGAGCATACTATAGCTGATTTAACATTACAAATACGAAGAAATAATGAGGCTGATTTGGAGTTACAAGCGTCAAGCTTGGAGCATTATGTGCCACCGTTTCGGATGACAGAATCCGGGAATGGCACTAATGGCTTCATGGTCATTTCTGACGGATGGGAAACCACATCCTTGGGCCATCAGTTGCATGTAAAAGGTACATTATTTGATTTGTTATCGAATAATTCTGACGTCGACCATCCACTATGTGATGAATGTACTGACACGCTTTTAGAACTAATGGACAATCAGTTGAGGCAAACAGAAGCGGAATGGAAGGACTACAGCGATTATTTAAAGAAATTGGAAGATGATAAAGAGGATTTGAACTTGGAGGGACTGGAAAAAGAACTTGAAGATTGGAAGCAGGAACAGGGTAGGCTGCTACAAGAGTTGTCCGCTTTGCAAAAAGAAGAGAGAGCTATGAAGGAGGAGATTGAAGTGCAGGAGAGAGAGAAGGAGAGGTTAGAAAAAGAGCAAGATGTGTATTGGAAAGAATACACTAGACATCGGAAAGATCTTATGACAACCGAAGATCAGATGAAATTTTACGAGTGTCAACTCTCTTACACACAGTCGCAGTTGGAGAAACTGAAAAAGATGAATGTTTTCAAGGCTACATTCCATATTGCTGATTCAGGTCAATTTGGTATAATAAATAACTTCCGACTCGGCCGTTTGCCAACTGCTCCTGTTGACTGGTCGGAAATCAATGCAGCTTGGGGTCAGACCGTTTTATTATTGTCATCATTAGCACGGAAGATCAATTTCATATTCCAACGTTATCGTTTAGTGCCATATGGCAACCATTCATATATTGAAGTGATAGAAGATCAGAAAGTGTTGCCATTATATGGATCAGGTGGATTTCGGTTCTTATGGGATACAAAATTCGATGCTGCTATGGTAGCATTCCTCGATTGTCTTCAGCAGTTTAAAGAGCAAGTGCAGAAAGGGAATAGAGGGTTTTGTTTGCCATATAGAATAGATAAAGGAAAGATAGAAGACACTGCATCACCACCACACGCATACTCTATTAAAATACAGTTTAATTCAGAAGAACATTGGACAAAAGCCCTCAAGTACATGTTAACTAACTTAAAATGGGCTCTGACATGGATATCATCGCAATTCAGTGAAGAGAGAATTGAAAGTTAAATATATAATGTATTCTTTTCTGTGATATTGTTTTAACTCCTGTATGAATATTGTTGAGATTTTAAAATAGTTAATAAACAAGAACAATAAAATACTGTTTCAAATATTATATTCAACTATCCTTGTCATCTAGATAAATATTAACTTCCTTATTTATAAAAACGCAAATCTTTCTTATAAACCTCTTTTTCTAATAACCATATTATGTTAATTAGAAGGAAAAAGACAAAACACTGTAATTATTAAAATAGGTTTCTAAGAAGTTTTTATTTTTATGAATAAGGAGGATACTTCACATAACTTTTATATCTGTTAATGTAACTATTACATTATCATATATAGGATTTAGTTACATGAGTTTGTCAATTTATGAACCTAATAATATTCTTTAATATCTGAATCTAGTTATACAATATTTTGAATAACTTGTATAATATAAATATATTATTTTTAATTTCCATTGACATCTGTTACAATAATGTGATCCAATGTTCAAATCCTATACTTGATAATGTAATATACTTAGTTTATTCTCTTGTTGTGATAATATATCTGTGATTCTGTTAATGTATTTTGTTTATCATAGATTACATAAAAATAATGTCAGTCATCAAACTAACTGCAATGTATCATATACATGTATAATTTTTATTTTAGAAAATTAATATGCTGTATTTGTTTTTCGTGATTACAATAATATGGATTGATTCCTGACAATCATTGCCTTTGCTTTATCCCATTCTTATTGAAACATAACCGTAGAATATTTTTAATCATAAGTAAAGAAAAACCTTTTAGCATAAGCATAAATGTAGTTAGGGACCAATCAGTGAACCCTGTTTATTAAAAGAGAATCATCTAGTAGTATAAAAATACCAGTAATATTTTGATAGAATAAAACCAGTAATAATTACTGAGGTATACTTTATACCAAGTAGCTTGCTTTGTAAGATGTAATTACAGGGGACGGAGACATGACATTTAAGTTCTCCGAAGTAGCAACGCTCGTCATAAGATGACGTGATGTTCATGTATATAGGCGACGGTTATCACTTAATATCAGTACCAGAGTACCAAATAAATAATTTTCTTTCTTTCTTTTCTAATATCAGATTAACCATCAACTAAAAAAATCTGAATTAAATAATTAACAAAGTGATTAAAGTAAGTTAACAAAGTAATTAATTATTTCTAATATTAACTAAATATTCTAATAACAATAATTCTAAGCTAGTAATATTATAATTTATTTTAATGACGCCATCTATGTTTCAATATCAAAACTACTTACAGCGGTAGGTACGGCGTGTTTTAGAAATATCTGTAGTCCCAATAGATGGCGCTGTAACAAATACGTTAGAGATACTAAATTAATTTGTTCCATTGAGTTTTGTATACTAACTCTATAGTTTATTTACATCGATCCCAAATGCCTATAACTACAACGGAGTCTAGTGTAGTCGAGTGAATACTCAAATTATTATTTATTGCGACGCGGAAAGCTGCGTCGAAATAATTTTTCGACTAATTTGGTAATTAATAAGTGATTCCACAGATGGCAGTATTTTCCTTCTGTTTTGTAATTGCATTACAGTATTTTCATGGAGATAACGGCTAAAATAATTGGCTGGCTATATATAATTTGTCCATTATTTATTTCAAATATTTACGATATTTCAATAATATATAAGTAGATATGGCCGATCGTTTCCAACAAGTTTCGCTGGTTTTTCTATGGTGCAATAATTAAATTCGTGACTATCGACTATTGAAAATACAGTGTGGGTTAGTCAATTAATTATTATAAATTTTTAAATAGTATTTCAATCTCGAACAGGCTTTGTGGTCGCTTGCTATCAGATATGTCGTATGCTTGATTGCCAGTATTGTCATTATTATAAAAAAAATATATATATCATGACGGTATGTAAATGAATATGCCAAAAGTTGCCTGTCAACATTACGATGGCATGTAGGTATAAAAGATAAAAAGGTCTCGCCCCGGTCTCCATTTTAACCGCTCGGATGTGACGTCACAGCTTTACTCTTTGTGACAAAGGTATTTACCTGGCTCCCTTTGATTACAGGGAAAGCGGAGTAAAACGTAGCTAGCAATCTTGTTATATTTTGTGACACAGAAACGAGTTTCATATATTATTATTAAAGCAAACTTTGTTACGTTTAGCGATCATCAAGATTATAATATATTCCTATAAGGAGCGGATTTATATAATTTTTATAGGTAATACTAGCTATTATACGCGACTTTGTCGGTTTTTTTACAAAACAATTTAAATTCAAATTTAAAAATGTATTCATGCAGGACGGCTTATGAACTTAAAATTTTTATATTATAATTTTTCCCTATCGTCCAGTTCAGTCTACAGATTCAATTGAGAAGAACTGGCAAGAAACTCAATTGTACTTCTTTTTTTTTTCAAAGCCAGTTTATTTACAATGTTAATTTATATAGGTGTGTCATCAACAGTTATTCATGATTACTATATTTGTTCTATTTTAATTTTCTTGAGGGTAGTACGCTTCTTCATCATATTTAATAACTATTTTATCTAATTGCATTGTTAAAGTAAAAGTAAGTGTATTGACTATTTAAAAACCGGGAGCTACCTCCCAGTTTTCTATTCTACAATGGCGATCAGATTATTAAGATTGCAGGAAGCGTTACGAACGGACGTGTGGAAAAGGTTTTGTAAAATACTGTAGAAAATATAAGAAAAGTGATTATCAACTGTAAGTATTGTTTTATTTATAGTGTTATCTTGTTCATACCACGTAAATCCAATAGAATACCATCATCCATACCTATTAAGCTGACATTTGTCTATGTCTAACATTCAATTTCTGTGCATGAACAACTATTGCCATGCACGCTCGTCATTCAAGTAATCGTTTATTGAGTTATAGTCTTTGCTCGGTAAATATGATTTAAGATATTTTGACTAAAACAATGATGTTTTATTATCTTCTAAATCCTTGTGATACAATCGGTCACTACACTATGATTGCTCCCTTATTCAACGTATAAGAGGATTGAAGTTTTACCACAGCCTGAGTTGAGGTTCGAATCTTTAGAGGTGCCCTCATATAAGTGATAGCTATAACACAGGGGACAAACGAGCATGCGGCTCACCTGATGGTAAGTGATTACCACCGCCCATGAGCACCCGCAACACCAGGGGAATTGCAAGTACGTTGTCGGCTTTTTAAAAAGAAATAAGCTCTTTTCTTGAAGTTTTCAATATCGTATTGGTTCGGAGCACTGAAGAATATTGGAGGATAACTTTTATTGTAGGACTATATCGACATAATAGAATATAAAAATTATGATTTGACTTTTTTGTCTGCTTGCTTGTGCATTTATGCACGCTAATGTCCCAAACAGTTTTACTAATATTTGTGGTATTATAATTATCTTTATAATTTAGTATTTGTTTTACCAATCAGTTCAAAACAGTTATGCATAAACTATTATTTTGCTGCAAATATTATACTTACGAACATATGCTCGGATAGTTTACAAAGAAATTCGAACTCTACTCAACTTTAATAAAGAAGAAAATAGCACATTAAATGTTATTATAGTTCACTTCTAAATTGAATATCATTACCAAGTAATGATTATTTTAGTAACAACACTGTTTAGATACTTACACGTTCATTAAAGTGAAGTGGTCAATAAAGACCGAATGAAAACAGAACAATAGTGTTGTAACAAAATTAGTCGATTTAAATGCAAAGAATAGTGTGATTATTTCAAAATTGATACGGCAAAGGCCCCGTGTCTATTATTCTATTTCGTTTCACTGTTTGTATTCCAACCTTTTTTTGACACTCTAATGGAATGTTACTTCTGAATTTGAAATTGGAAGACATTTTCTAAATAGTTTATGTGCAATAAAATTAGGTCAATCTAAATTATTCCAAATTTGAAATCAAGCTATGGACCTATATTTTTATTCTTATGGATGATAATGGAATGGTGCACCCGTCTGCTCTAATGGTTTACGCTGGCGGGACACCAATGGAGGATGATAAGATGAGTATGGAGTCAGGCAGTTAGTCCATCCTGGTAAATTCACTAGGAATTGGCTGACATGGTAAATTGCTAGCAATACGGTTATTAGTCCACATTACTAATAATCTCCTTCACTAAGAAAATAACACTTGATTGTATTAACTTAATAACTAACTTAACTTAACTTTAATATAGCAGAGTTCGGTATTTATTTATCTTATATACAATAATAATCTGATGGGTAGTAAACCCTCGCTTCTCTAGTTTCAGGTGGTCTCAAAACGATTAATCAAAACTTTCCCGCCATTTCGATGTCATGTCCATGACATTTCAAGCTTTTTATCATAGTGATAGATGTTACTAGTGAGGTGCCATTGTGATTTTTCTTCTTTGTGGTTGACATTAAGTACAATTTATTGTTATTTTTTTTATATACATACGAGTATGTACGTGATTTTTCGTAGTCTTAGGTATTCAATGAAGATTAAAGATTACGTTATCAATAGTTTATAACATGACCCTTGAGGCCCATTAATTTTTGGCACTCACATGATGCAACTCTATCACATTTATAATTATTTATTTATTTAACTTCAACAAAGATAAGTAAGGATGGACTATGCAAGTTTTTTTTAAATTAATTTTTGAATCTTCACCGTTTGTAATGTTATACATATGTATAAATGAAATTTTTGTTCAATTCTAATAATGAATATGATTGTCCGGCTTGTAGTGTGAAATACGAAAAAGACTTTTTACAAAGTTACATCACTTAATATAATAAACTGTCTATTTAATTTAAACATAGATATTATACATACATAGATATTGTTAATATAAGAAATAAGTTTTATAACAGTTTTATTAGTGTGTTGTATTTTCGAACCTGCGACTATCGGAAGTAAAGCTTTGTTAAGCCGTAAAATCACAAAAACTCAATAGTTGTCGAGATAAAATTGGTTAAATCTGACGTTTGATTAAGAGAATCTGCGTCCAACCTTCAATAATAGTTTTTATTTGCCTTAAATAAAAACTAATAGAATTGCTATGCTATAATAAAATTAAAAAGTAATGAAGGAGACAAAACGGTTATAACTTAATCACTGAGTCCATCTCTGCTATTCTGTTATAGCCTTTACAATAAGAGATCGACGACGACGATAGCACGTTAAGTTCTCAATTACTACTAACAAAGTAGTAGATCTCGTCTATGGTCGCGGGTTCGATTCCTCGCACGGCACAAACATTTGTATTCATGAATATGATTGTTTGTATCGGTCTGGGTATTTTCTATGTATAATATGTATGTATTTACCAAAAAAAAAATTATCTATGTATTTGTATTATCTAATACCCATAACACAAGCTTTAGCTAGCAACTAACTGTCCTGAGATTATTATTATTATTATCATACATAAAAATAACAATTATATACATGTGAATAGAAAGAAATTACATATCTGATAATTTAAACTGATTGTTGTGTAGCCAGAAATACGGAAACGATTTTTTACAATGTTACATCACTTTAATAAACCGTATACTTAACTAGCTTTTGCTCGCGGCTTCGCTCGCGTTAATTTATCCCTTTAGGGGTAGAATTAATCAAAATCCTTTCTTAGTGGGATGCCTACGCTATAACATCTACCTGCATGCCAA